AGTTAGTATTTTAGAGATTTTGTATTATTTAGTAATTTAGTGATTGTATTTGTTATTTAGTATATTGTTTTTATATATATTTTTTTCCTTGTACTTTGTGACCATTTTCTTTCCCTCAGGAGATTGTGTAAGAGTCAATAAGTAAATAAATAAATAACAAGCAGCCTCTCGGCTGAGATGGCTCTGCTGTTAGCACTGCACATTTCAATTAAAGAACAGAAGATATCATTAGAAAATGAACAATATGCATAGTATCAATGCAATGGGACTTGCTGTTTTCAACAAAAATACCATTTTTCACTATAAATGATTGTGGTTTTTAAAAATAAGTCGAAAATATCACTTTTTACCAAAAATGACAAAGATATTTACCAAAATTAGAGAATTGAAGATATCATTACAAAATGAACAAATCTGAGAGAAGTCCACATATAGTACCTATATATGTAATATCAAAGCAATTGGACTTGCGGTTTTTAACAAGAAGTCGAAAATATCACTTTTTACCAAAAATGACAAAAATATTCACCCAAATTAGAGAATTGAAGATATCATCATGAAATGAACAAATCTGAGAGAGGTCTACCCAATGTACATATACACCAAGTATCAAAGCATTCAGGCTTGTAGTTTTCAAGAAGAAGTCGAAAAAGTAAAACATTGACACGGACGATGACGGACGACGGACAATCACTCATATGATAAGCTCCGCTCGACAAAGTCGACAGCGGAGCTAAAAATTGGTGGGAATTTGCTTTTTACAGAGTTGAATGGTAATACAAGTTATCCCTAGTCATGTGACCTATACTGGGGTCACAGTATCATGTTGACAAGCATCCAATCAATAGACACTTTTGTTTCTCACTTTAATCAGGTTAGCAGAATCAGCAATTCATTGCTAGGTGGTATAAATACTATGGATTTTTCGCTGCTAAATAAAGCATACATTTTGTATTTGTAGGACATACTGGAGGAAGTTGATGCATCAAACGATCCACTCAAAGATATTATTGCTGAATTTGGTGGACAAGTTGACACAGTGAAAGGTAACATTCGAAAATGACAGATTATTCATTGTACAACAGTTTTATATTACCTGTAGTTCTTATTGGACATAATTTGAACTCAAGATGGTCTATGAATGTAGAAGAAACTGCTTTAGCAGAGAAAAGAATAGAACTTAAATTGCATAATACCAGTAGTGCATTTCATGGTTTTAATATTGAAATAAGAAATGGCACATGTTGCAGTGCTCCTTTTTTCTGCAGTAGAATGAATTTTGTGAGAACTTGATGAAGTGTACAACATTTAAATAACTGTGTCTCAATCTACATAAATATATTTTTCTTGTTTAGTAATAATCTGTTTGTCCCTCTCGGTCATTACTGGTGGTCTTAATGGTCTTCCTGGTGTGCCGATCATCAGTTCCCAAATTTTTCTCTCCTTAGCTCTCATCTCGGCTAGCCTTGTTTCTCTCGCATTTTTCAGTCGTTCCACACTATTTTTCGCATCTTGGTAATATTCTTCCAATAACTGAGGATAGGAATCAATATCTGTTTGCTCAAGCTCACTTAATTGACTTGTTATATATGGTTCTATGATGTCATTCAGTTTCTCATCTGAAGTACTGAATTCTGATAGTTTTCTGACAAGCTCCTGTTAAATAAATTGACATGAGAAATATATTAAATAGACTTATACCGGCAGTATGCATCCAGCAGGATGTGAATTTGTTAACTTGTTTGTTTTGTACTAGTATGAAGAATGAATGAATGACAATCAGTGTCGTAGATTAAACATTTATTGTAAGTGTAGTAGCTACAATGTGCCTGTTAGTGGAATGGCTAATATTTGTTTGTTTGTTTGTTTACTATTACAAAAAGCAGAAGTTTACTGGTTTAATTTGTTGTCATTTGTTGAACTCATAAGCGAGATAAATTTGTTGTAAGTGGGGTTGGTGCAAAACCACACAGGCAGAAATTCTGTTCTAATACAGTGATAGCAAGGGAAAATAGCAACACAATCATATTTGTTCTCATTATAAAATAGATTGCGTTCAACACAGTATTCACAAAATCTGTAATCCGGGGAACATTATTAATGTCTGTGTGATGTGTTGACTCAGGAACACACAAAACATCAAAGAAACCAGAGAGCTTTCAAACTTAAGGTAGAGATGCAGGTTCGTGGGCACTTGGGAGTGAAATTTTTTTTTTTTGCTTTTTATTATCTAAACAGTCTAGGCTATAGACTGTTAAAATTTTGTAGAATTGTGAATAGTGGAACATACTCAAAAAACGATTTTAAAATATAGATAACAGGTGCAAACATTCTCTCTTTTGAATGCTTAGCAAGATTTAGCAAGGCTGTACATAAATAATAAAAAAGAAACATGGTAAAAAAAAGAAATGACGGGATCTCCATATTATGCACTATATTAACTTTTACAAAATGATAATACATTTAAATTTGGAACTGTTACAGCCATTTTAATTATGAGCATTAGCAAACTTTTTACTGAGTGAATTGTTATGCAAATTAGCATTTATCTCAGCTTCTTTTTACAACTGGTAGACAGTTTTCAAGACGGCACTTTCTTCATAGTAAACAGATGTACCCGTTATCCAATTTTGACAGGAAACAGAAGCATGGTTTAGAAGCTATTTTTTTTTCATATCACTTTTGACCAAAAAAGCACATTTTTGTGCATATTTCAAACTACAGTGTCCATAACAAAAAAATACTAACAAAATTTTAAAATTCATACAATAAGCTTTCCGAAAATATATAGTTTTGTGGACAAGGGAGGTCATCTTGGTTTCCTAATTAACTAATTAAAATACCTTTCAGGTAAACTGCATCTCTACCTTAACTTCTTGTTTATTCCGCCATTTTTCAGTTACTCCAACCGCACTACTTTTTACTCATCAATACACTTGGGTGATCAGGTGACATATAACACCATTACAAAAGTATGTATTCTGACGCATACAATAAAGTACTCCCAAAAAACGTCACAGTCTGCCCTTTTCAATGAGAAGAACAACATAACCTTGATATCGCAGCTCTAAATTTGTAAACATGAATGCAAGACAAATATTTTTTTCTGATCAAGTGAAGACTTAAAATTGTGATAGGAATGAAGTTTGGAGAAAGATTAAAGTAGAAAATTGCATAATGATGTGGGCATGATATATTGGAATAGATGAAAGGTTACAGTTTGGAAATTCAGGGTATACTTTGAGGTCAAAGCTCCGAGTCATCAGGGGTAGCATACAAACTGTCTGCTGTCCCCAAATTTGAGTGATATGTTTTGTGTTGTACCTTGTTTGAGAATATCTTAGGCTGAACATTTTGTAATTCGGTTATCTAATGTGAAATTAGGTACTGAGAAAATGGTCAAAATACTGTGGTGACTGTAAAATCTGACCATGAATGATTGATTGGAGAGCAAGACTCAAATTAATGCAATTAGTTTTACTTTGTACCGTGTGGATTGCCAAATTATAGTTCACCAATTCTTGATATTTGTCCAGCCTTGAACAGAAAACTATTGTGAAAATAGACACCATGTGGCAGGAAAGTTATCATTGCCACCTTGAGAAGTATGGTGCCTGGTGTGTCGTTGCAAGTTCATGTCCAACACCCAAGATATGTTAGCGGTACATTCAACAATATAATTCATGTCCAATTGAGATGGTTAAGCGAATCCTAACAGACTTACTCGCAAAGAATCTCTTGTTTTAATCTCTCCTTCCACATCATATATTATTACAGAGTCCTCTTCACTTTCATTTTGTTGTTGTTGTTTTAGAAATGTTTCTGTAACTCTGTCAATCTGTCAACAATTACATCAAAGAAATCAACCCTATATTATATGTACCAAGTATTGAGTTACAGAATACGTAGATTAAACACTTGATTCAACATCGATCACGCAACTTTCAACCTTCCTGGATTGACACATCAGTGTTGACAATACAAAATACATCATGTCTTTAATGAAAAGGGATTGATAAAATACCAATCAACCATAATTAAACTTGGATGGTATAATTTAAACACCTATACTGACTACAGGAGTCTGAACAAAAGTGATCACAGCATAACTAATCAGTGTACTGTCAATATCTCTGACAAGCAAGGTTGAAACACGATCTTTTTTCCGCGATTTACAACTACATTTGTACATATCCTGGCAATTACTAGTTGCCAAAATGATTATTTTTATACCAAGTCAAGTTTTTTGTGAAATACTAGCCAAAGTAAAAGTTGCATGTGTATAATCTCAGGTCAGTCATTATTACGTAACAGCAACACGTAAAATGGTAAAATGACCCTATGTTGGTATAGGGTTAATGCCCCCCCCCCCCGATGGTTGAATGATAACAAAGACAAACACTTACTGCTTCAGTCAAAACACATGATGTTGAATTCATACTTAAAAAGGTCTTGATAATTTTACAAGTCTTGTCTATATCCCCTACCATAGTATGGCCAATGAGACAAACGGTCCGAGCTATTGTGCTGTCCTGACCCAGGGTACAGTCAATTAGAGTCATTCCAAGCTGTTTGTTTATGTCATCCTAGAAAATAAAAAAATAATTATTTTTCTTTATTTTTCATTCTTGATGCTATTAAATGTTGATATTGTTCAATGAAGGCACATTCAATGACTTGTTACTATGGTAACAGATTGCAACAAAATAGAAATTTCAGTTTAAATTGTTTATTTGCATTGATACAAACATAAGAAATAGATAACAAAAAAATGAAAATAAATATGATTATGGGCATCTAAAAAATCTTACCACCTCATCTTCTTTTATTTTTATTTAGTCAAAAATATGCTGAGATTACTGAAGTAGGTACTGTAAACTTATTTACTAATTATTCACTTAAATTTTGCTATTTTCACTGATAAATGAACGTGTACATGTAAAACATGTAAAATAACAATAAAAATAATTATTTTACTAGAAAATCTATGAAAACCAAAAGAATATGCTAAAAATATCAAAACAGTGAAATTAAAAACCAGTGAAAATGATTGTAATTACAGTACTTTCATTTCCCTGTATATTATAAACAGGTTGCTGTCATTCTTTATCACATAAAAATGAGTCATCGCAAATTAAATTTTGAAAAGTTTAACATTTATTGGAAAGCCTTGTTGTGACTACTACCTCCATTGTTGCATGAGATTTCATATACTGATGACAAGCATACAGCGCTAATAGTTGTGACAGTCTCTGTGTTGGCGATAAAACTTCCTGTGTCATCATTTCCATGGCAACTTTGGCAGCATCTGAAATATTAATATACTTTATTAACTGTCTTACATCACGACTACTACATTCTCTTTACTGTTGGTATCATTACATTTGCAATATGTCACACAAAAACCAAGTGACTCCTATCAAGTAATGCCATTAACACTAGTTCAGGTATACATACAATGTACCAAATTTGTTCAAGATTCAACGATTACTTGTTTGGCCACCGGACGGAATCATTTATATACATGCACCATCTTACTCTATTAGAATTACATCTGGAATACACACATACAACAAAAATTGCACTTTACTGATCATTAAAATCTGACTTCTTTTTGATCACAGACATTCCTGTCGTTTACGTGAATGAATGTGTTACTAACAGAGGAAATGCAATAATTTTTCAGGACTAGGATAAATCAACAGTCATTGCAATGTGTATATGTGTGTAGGAAATGCATTGTACATGAAATATGATACCATGTTATACGACTTTCAGACATGTACGGTAAGTCAATACTAAAAGGATAAATGTTAACATTCCTTTTCCATTAGTGTCAATTTGTAACGTCCAATGTGGACACTGAAAACATAACATATACGCTATATATCGATGTTGTACATTAAATAATAACTTGTAAGTAGGAAACGGGTTGCGTTCAGATCTCAAGAAGGCGCCATCTATTGAAATCCTCAAGGATTATAATAAAATAGAACATCTTTATTGGAATCCTGGGCAAAATGCCAAGTATGTTGCCATCTTGAAAGCTCTCCCTCTAATGGCCGCTCACAAGATTTTATGTGTTATTTCCCATAAAAATGTGTGTCATACATCACAATTTTCTATGGTTCCCCTCGTGTGACTGATTTTAGCAAAAAACTACTACTCAACCCTTATTTTGCACATCGCATTTCATATAAAAATTAGCCTTGGGTACCCTAAGCAATGGCCATGCAATTGTGTCTAAAACGATATTTCAGTGAGATCGTCTTTATGTGGGTATATTCATACAAAACAAAGATGTTTAAAATCAGAGCTATTGTCACTTTCAATATAGACATATTTTGACAAAAAATACTGCTGCTACTGCTACCGGTATATGAATATTAATTATGTCGCACCATTTCAAACTTTCATACACAAACTTACTTTGATAATCTTCATTTCTAAGATAGGAGTCGAGAAGTAAATTAAATGTGTAGTTATCAGGAAATAAACCGTAATGAACCTAAAAAATAAAAATATTCATTATTACAATCCGTGCTTCAAATTGGAAGTATTTTATTTCATACTAATCTAACATCCACTTCACAATCTATAGCGCTTTAATCTGGCAAGAGAAAAATTACTGCAAATTTCATGAGTCGGTGATAATCAGGAATTTTGTAGCAGTGAAAATTTCTCTGGTGTCAAGGACTTTTACGAAATTTAGTCTTCACGAATTCTATAAAATTTTAAAATTGCAAACATTTCTAGCAGTGAAAATTGACGGTATATCACTTGTAAAACCTTATTTATTTATTTATTTTTTTATTGAGGCCCATCATCCAGTAAGAAGCAAGCTTTCGCCTCCCTTCCGCCCCACCATTTGTTACATCAAAATTAAGTAGAACAGATGTCACAAATTTCAGGAAATGTTGCATTGTGGGAGTAAAATGGCAACCATCTTGTATAAATGTATAAATTTGTGTTAAAATTTATTTTTTGCTATCTGTTTGTGTGTTTGCCATTTTTGAGTTGTACTTCTCCTCAGATTTCAATGAAACTTGGTACATAGTTGCTCTGGGGTTAGCCACAAAAAAAATTAATTTAAAATTGTAATTCGAAGATAACAATTAATATCTGATTTGTATAAATTAGCCAACACCACTTATGAAGAATAGAGCCGGAAATAAACTTGTTCTGGATAACTTGGTTCAGTGTTAAAAACCATGCATACTATTTATCTAATTTATATAAATTAGCATATACCAGATCCAGTCATCAGATTTCACGTACATGTGTGTGTTCTAGGGTAAGCCATAATCACGATTAACTACAAACCATATGGAGGCTGTGAATGGCGCAACTTTCACCACTTAACATCACAGAAAAATGTATTGCAAATTCTAACTTCATCTTACACAATCATATAACGCATTCAACTCAAAATATACATTACCTTATCCTGTACTGTAGTAATGGCTTCATCCAGTGCATCTAACTGTAAACATGCTCTAACCCACGTATTGGCTGTGTATGATTTGAAATAAAATGCTACTGGAGAACGTCTATACCTGAAACCAAGCAAAAAAACATTAATCGGCAAAAAAGTGTCTGTTGTTCAAAGCGACCAGATTTAGTTGCCATGATTGAAGTATTATGAACAGGCTCACGACATACTGTGAAGGGGTTAATTATTTAATGGGTTTTAATTTTGCTTATTTTGCTGACTTGAAAATGCACTAAATTAAAACCCAATGAATATGTAAAATTTAGCATAGAACACATTATCTAAATCATAAAACCGTGAATTTAAAACCCAATGAATATGCCTGAAATAGTAAATCAGCGAAATTTACACCCTAGTGAAAATTAGTCATTTTACAGTAATATGCAATACTCTAATGTAATTATTCCACTCTTTTTTGCATGACAAATAAAATCTGTACCGGTATATGTAATACTCCTCAAACACAGACACAACATTCCAACCCCGGCCCAAAGAAAGTTTGCAAGTGTGAAAAAAAAAAGAAATATTAAAAACTTTAATTTCAATCACCTATGGCTCCCTGCCCTTTAAACTAAGAGATTACCCATGACCCACGAACGAACAGGAACCAATTAAATACCACATGCACATATATATACCGGTACTAATAACACACAAAATATCAATCTTTAGCAAACTTTTACACACACATCCTCCCCTGCCTTACCTCGTGCTTTTGCATAGCAATATCCCGAACCCATATATAATATTTCACACACTTGATATGCAACAATGTGATATTGTTTTAATACCATCACACAGTGTTATGTCACCATGGTAACTTACTTGTATAAAAAATCTTTGGCTTGATTCAACTGATCGATGTTTTCAATGTGATTAATATACTGTAAATACAAATGATTTAATATAAAATATTTTATTTTCGCTTTGAAATTATTTTAACTGAAGGGATGATTCAAGTGAGGATAAAATCCATCAAATATACCCTTTTTCCGATATTTCACATTCAAGTCATCAAAATTCAATGAAAATAAACTCCGTACAAAAACAGTTAAATTATATTTACAGCCATCTGATTGACCACTAACACTGGTCAAAGAGCCAGTGAAAACAGCTAAAATCAATTAAACAGCACAAACTCAACTTGGAAGTAATCCTGAGAAACCAAAGTTTATATATGTTGCATATTTTGGGGTAGTTTGTTTCACTGTTCAAGGGAGTCTCAACAACTATCACAGATGTCAGCCCCGAGAACAGTATCAAGGACAACCAAGGACAGAATAGTGCTACAGTTCCTTGTACACGCTGTCTGTGAG